TATCTATCTATCTATCTATCTATCTATCTATCTATCTATCTATCTATCTATCTATATCAGTTTATACTTATATGTTTATATGTTAAGTATGAACAGTTTGTTCATACTTATACTTGTTTTCTCACACATGCTTGACAAACTAAACTAAATAAATAAATAACTTTTAATGGTGTAAACAAACTGTATGGAAAGCCAATTTGGTGTAGTGGCTAAAACATCACACCTGAAGTAAAAAGTTAGGTATTTTGGCCAGTCATTCTCTCCCAGTCCTAAGAAGCAGATAAGGGCAAACTGCTTCCAAAAAAAAAACATTGCCAAAAAACTAGTCTAGGCACTAGTTCAGGCAAAAACTAAATCAAAAGCACCAAAAATAAAAATCTATAGAATTGAAAAATGAGTTTTACATAAATAATTTTAAAATTCTAACATATATCTCTGTAATAAAAACATTAACATATGATACATGAGCAGACTGGAGCTATGATATTTGTTTTACAGTGTCATTTATATGAATGTATTTTGTTTTCCAATTTTCAGAAAAATATTTTTAAAAGCTGGCTCTTCAGAATGTTTCAGTATATATGTCTTTTCTGTGTATTTGTCTTTTCTGTGTATTTCTTCATGTCTTTTCTGTGTATTTATGTCTTTTCTGTGAATTTCTTTTCATATCTACAGCAAACAAATGTTTATTGTAGAATAGTTTTTATAAGAAAATATTATCTTTCTTTTTAAAAAATAGTGTCTCTTTAGTACATACGATATGTACTTTAGAAAGCATATTGTTTGACAATATTTCTCAGCACAAAGACAAAAGGAAATATTAACAAAAATTACTTACAGTTTGTAGGCATTGTAATAATAGTCTCTGTTGTAGCATGATAATCATCATCTTCTAAAGAGTCATCACTATTGTCATCTCTCTGGATATCATACTGATCAATCAGTTCTTGCAATGGAGGAGCTTTAGGTAAAAGTTGCCTTATAATATCCCGGCTAATGTTAGGTGCTTGTTCTAGACGCAGTTTACTGAGGATCTGAATTTTTATAACTTCTATTCTTGAAGATTTTGTATTCTGTCTCCATGTACATGCGTTGCATAGTCCACCTTTTTCAGTATTCTCATTTGCCTGATTACTTTCATTAAGTTCCACAGGTATGATTAGCATGAAAAGATAAATACAGAGATACATTTTTAGTTTGTATATAATCACACTTTCAAAACAGTTCTTTTTCCTTCTTTTCTCTTTCTCCTTTTCCTTCTCCTTTGCTTTGCTTTGCTTTGGTTATTTTGTTTTAAATCTTTCAGTACTCTGTGAATCACTGAAGGCAAATGCAATCTGAGACACCTCAACACTCTTGTGAATCTTGTATGTTCCAAGAGGGCTTTTTATATTCCAACCTTCATTAGACATGTGTCGTCAAAACTAATGATTGGCTGTTAAACCAATAATGAATCTAGCTGTCAGATGTTAAAGCTGTATCAGTCATAAATTTGTAGGGTGCATTTTGTTTCTGCCAATGATGAACTACTTTGCTTATTAATCCATAGAGAGTAGCCGCTCACATGCTGAAAACATATTTCCAAAGAGTACAGCGAGCAGTATCAAAAGATAATATTACCATTCTTAAATTTGAATCAGCTGTTTATTTTATAATGGATCTGTTCCTGTATCTAAAAATGTCAACTTATGAATAAAACAAATCTTACATTTTAAAGATTTTATCAGATTTACTCCAAATATTATATTATAGATTATTAGTTGGAAAAATGAGATTCATTTGATTTCAAGGGATTTACAGCTTTATACATAACAGCAATTATTAAGAATGTTTTTATTCATTTAATTATATTTAAGAAGAGCACATAAATATTAAAAAAGTGTCCCTCTATTTGCATTTGGTTCTTGTTACCTGAATCGACATAGTCGTTGTTTTCTTAAAAAGAATACAAAGTGGTTTGCCATTTTTTCTTTCAAGGATGTTTTTTCAATTTCCAAGTTTAGCTTATATCCTAGGATTTCCTAGTGGTCTCCTACCAAAATATTAAATGAGCTGATCATTCTTAGCTTATTTGAGATTTACCAAAGTTGGCTTGGTGCATAAGGAAGCAGATAGAATTTCATTCTCTTTGTGAATGTTAACATTCTTATCAGTGCTGGCTCTAAGTTTTGGGGAGCTTACCCAAGACACTGTCAGAGGGAACTAGTGTTATTCACTAGGCTCAGTGGTGGGATTCTACCGGTTTGGACCAATTCTATAGAACCAGTTGTTATGATTCTGCGCAGTTTGGAGAACTGGAAAATCGTGCCCCTGGCTGGCCCTGCCCCTCTCTGTCCACTCCTCCCCTCCCAGTCAGTCCTTATCACGCATGCGCAACATCATGCATGCCCGACATAGCTGACTGCGTTCTTCCCCGCCCACTCACCAAGGTATTTCTTTTATCCCCCTAACGATCAGCTGTTCTATGATCAGCTGTGCCAAGATTCCCTTTGCTGTCTTACTGCTTCACTCAGGAGGCTACCCTGAGGCCCAGGAAGGCAAAAAATGGAGGGGGGCACAGCACCCCCACCCCGTTTTTTTTTGCTTTCCTGGGATCCAGGAAAGCCTTCTGGCAGCAAAAACATCCTCCAGGAGACTTCCCTGAGGCCCAGAAGTCCCAAAAAATGGGAGGGGGGGTTGCTGAAAAATAAGCCACACCCACTCAGTTACATGGCCACACCCACCTGGCCACACTGACCTAGCCACACTTACAGATTGGTTGTTAAAAAATTTGAATCCCACCCCTGACTAGGCTCCTGTTCTTTTTTCAAAAGTTTTTAACCATCAGATCTGGGCAGAGTGAAGACGCAAGACACCCAAAGCACTTTAATTCTTTATTCAGCTCCAGTAAAAGCAATGAATCAGCTGAGCCACAGCAGCCCCTTTTAAAGGGAGCTGTCCACAGCTTCAGCCACTGATGTGCGCTTGTTTTTCCAGCTATGACTTCGGAAACAGTGATTGGTCTCTATGTCAGCCTATTCAATATCTAACACCCCTCCCCTATGGAATGGTGTTACCCAATCAGAATCAATTCATGCAACATAGTCCCATAAGTAGGCGGGTCGCTTGTGGGCGTGACCTGACCTGCACAGCTCATTTGACTCAGTGGCCCTGGACTGACAGGTTGGACTTGTTGTCTTTCCTGTAGGAGCCCTTGGAACCATCTTGAACTTGCCTGGTGGCGTGGCCATTTCTTTCTGACTAGTTACTGCCTCTGTTGTGATTGATGTCATGAGGCTGACCTCCAACCATTTGGAATAGGCATCTACTATGATAAGGAATGACATGCCCCTGAAAAATCAATATGTATTTGGGACCAGGGTGTCTTTGGGTTTCCCCACTCGTGTGTGGGAGCAGTGTTTGGTGCTAGCTGGGACTCCTGGCAGAGTGTGCATGTCATGACTCATGTCTCAATTCCCTTATCCATCCCCAGCCACCACATGTAACTCCTAGCCAGTGTCTTCATCTTGACCATCCCCAGGTGTTCCTCGAGTAATATTTCTAGAATGTCCCTCTGTAATGTCTTGGGAATGATTACTCTATCCCCCCACAAGAGGCACCCTTTCAAATCCAACAGTTCAAATTGGCGAGTTTTAAACAGTTTAAATTCCTCATCTACTGTAGCCTCCGGCCATCCCTTCCATACCCAGTTCAAAAGTCACACCAACGTCCTGTCTTTTGCAGTAGCTCTTATGATCTCCACTGCCATGACTGGTCCACTCATGAGGATTTCTATGAGGAGTGTGGATGTCACCGATGCCAGGTCATCCACTGGCTCTGGTAAAGGACATCTGCTGAGTGCTTCGGCATCAGTTGATAATTGTAGGCAGCAAGGAATTCGGTCCATCTCATCATTCTCAGGGATAGTATGTGCGGTGTGGGTCATTTTCCCACAATGATCCCCAGAAGTGGCTTATGGTCGGTTATTAGCTCGAATCTTCTGCTGTAGACATATTCATGGAATCGTTTGATTCCAGCAACTACAGCCAATGCTTCCTGTCGAGTTGGATCTATTTTTTTTCCGCTTTGGATAGTGTTTTGGAATAAAAGGCAGTGGGGGCTTCCCATCCATTCGACATGGCTAAGGTTTGCTCCTACTCTGAAAGGTGAAGCGTTGCATTTTAGCCTTAGGGGTAGATTTCATTATATTGCACAAGCACATTGTCTGATGTTAAAAGATTTTTTATTTCTTTGAATGCGCTTGCTTCTTTCTGTCCCCCTTTCCATTCTGCTTTTTCGTCAAGGAGCCGATGCAATGGTTCAGCAATTGTCACCTTCTGTGGCAAGAAAATGTTGTAGAAATTTAATAACCCCAGAAATGCTTGTAGCTCTGTCTTATTGTTGGGGCTTCCCAGATTGCTTTCAGTTTGCCAATGGTGGGTATATGCCAGAACTATCAATCAAATATCCCCAAAATTCCGCTTTTTCAACAGCCAATTGGCATTTGTCCTTCTTTACTTTTAACCCCACCTCCTGAAACCGGCTCAATACTATTCTCAAACTTTGCAGTAATTGTTCTTTGTTGCTTGCTGATATGAGGACGTCATCAAAGTAAGGCACTACGCCTTCGATGCCCTGTAGTAGGTGCTCAATGAGACTCTGAAACAGTCCCAGGGCCACGCTTACCCCAAACTGTTACCCTGGCATTTGAATGCTCCCCATGTGTGACAATAGTCTGGGCTTCTGCTATGGCATCATCAATGATTTGCCTGGGCCAAATCAAGCTTTCTGAATATTTTTCCTCGACCCAGGGAGTGCAATAGATGTTGCACAATTGGCACGGGGTATGTACTCTGCTCTAACACTTTATTGATTGTACATTTGTAATCAGTGCACAGGCGCACTGACCCATCTGGCTTTGTGGGGGTGACGCTGGGCATTTCCCTCTTAGCATGATCAGATGGCTCCAAAACTCTCTGAGCAATAAATTTATCTAATTGTTCATCTATTTTGGGCCACAGAGCAAATGGGACCCCTCTGGGGCTTCATCTGGACAGGGGCCACCTTGGGGTCTAAATTGAATTAGGGGTCCTGGTATACATGCCCAGTTGTCCATTGAACACATCTGCAAATTCGTTCAGGAGGTCATCTTCCCAGTGGCTGTCGTCAATCCAGTTCATCCCCATCACTGCTAGTCCTAGGGGTTCAAACCACTCTAACCCCAGCACGCTAGGTTGGTCCCGGTCTACTATGGTTAGGGGTAATTGTCCTTTGAAATCTTTGAAGGCTATGTTGAAATAACCAATTCCCAGAACTGGAATTCGGCTCCTCTGATAGTCTTTTAAAGTCAGTTTCTGTGGTTTGAGTGCATTGACTGTGATTTGTGGCACCAATTTCATGATTGTTGCCAGGAAACTATTGAGAGGTAGGGCCCTGAGTCGACCTCCATCTTGCATGGCTTTCCTTTGATGTATATGGTTGCCACCATCTTCTTCATCTTGCACATGCTCGAATATGCCACTATGATCGTTTGGTGCATCTCTCCTATAATGGTGGCTGTGTCCTCCCCTTTTGAATGGAGTCTTCCGGGCAGCCGCTTGGGAGTTCCTGGGATGCTGTGGATTGTCTTGGTCAGCAGGAAACTGGCTGGGATGCCCTGCAGGCCCTTGCAATGTGTCCCCTTCTCTTGCATCGCTGGCAGATGGTGTCTCGGAACCTGCATTCTGCCATGGGTTGATTCCCTTCACACCTGGCACACCAGAAACCTTTCTGTTTTTTTCTGGGTTTCTTACCTTCCATTCTGAGCAGAGTTAGTGCACATCTTCCTCATCTTCATCCTCTGATTCAGTTTCCACATCCTCATAGTGCACAGCGGCGGCTTCCCTTGCTTGAGTTGTCTTGTTCATTTTTTTCATTGCCGCTGATTGTTGGGATGCCTCCATTGCTGTTGCTTCTTCCATGGCTTCCTGGAAGGTGATTCTGGGCTTTGCTAGTAGCGAGCTTTGCAGAGTGAGATCTCATAGTCCCAGCACTAGATGGTCCCTCATAGCCTCATCAATGTTTAGGAACTCACATGCAGTTGTGATTTCTCGTAGGTTGGCAACGAACTCGCTGATGGATTCTCCCTCTTTCTGGTCTCACCAGTAGAATTCGTGTCACCTCACGAGAGATAATGCCTGTGGGGCACAATGTGCCCTCAGTAATCTCTCCAGTGCTGGCCAGGTCATAGTTTTTAACTCAGCCGGTGAAGAAAGGGCTTTTGTCATTTTAAAAATGGCAGGTCCACAGTGTATGATGAAGAGAGCCCTCTTCCTCTGTTCCAAGAGGCTCAGGAGGTCATTTGCTTCCAAGAACATGTGGAAGCGATCCATGTCA